TCCCCCTCAGTGGAGTTTACCTTATTCACTTCCTAATGCCTGCGCCATCACTTTGAACGCTTTAAGCCGAATCAAAAATTTCTACGCACGCGCCGCCTTTGTGGGTGTAATCCGGTCCTGCCACATACCATAAGTGTTTCTATACTGTCATCTGCACTGCTACACAACGCTCTAGGTCTACGAGGACATGAGTTGTGTGTTTACGGTCGAGCATTTATCCGCACTCGTCCTGCCGGCTGTCACCTGTATTCGTACCAAATTTGAATGCTCTAGGTTGGTGGGAACAGGAGTTATGAATTTCCTGTCAGACACATCAACCCAAGCATCCACACCGACAATTGACAGACCCACTTAGCGCGTAATGTATAGTAAGAATCGATGATCTGATCTATGTCTCTAACCGCTCGCTATTTTCAACACTTCTCCATCTTCTCCCTCGCCATAATCCCTTACAGTCGTGAAGCCGCCCTTTAGTAGCTGGTCTACTGCTTCGATCTGCCGCCTGCCGTTTGAGGAGGTTTTCTCTTAGTGCGCGAATAGTGGCTGCCTCGCGGTTATCTTTTATACGCGACCAAATACACGATAATTCCTCAAGCATTAACTATTAGACAGGAAACATTTATAGGCAAGTTAGTGACGCGGTTGAGGACAGAGAACGAGAAGTAAACACTTCAAATAATAGTGAGTAAGATGAGGTAGACGAAGAAGTCAAATGAATGAAGAATGAATGCCCTCACGTTCCCGCTTTCTTAAGTACGCCATTTCCGATCGTGGTACCGTGATCTCTCGCGCGGGAACAGTTAGTCATTCCCCGCGGCAATAACTTAATGAGAACACTTCTGAAGATCCACGAGTCAAGTAAATCAACAGATGAACAAATATTGAACGATTATAGTGGATTTATTTCCATCTACCTACTGGCGTCTCCCATATTCTCAAGTATTACGGTCCTCGATAACAACTCTTTCTCTAGCTCAAAGAGCGCTTCTTCTGCATTTTCCTGTTGGCTTTGGGCTTCCGCCTTTGCATCCAGGATGTTGCACAAAGCTGTGCTATGACCGTCTAGGAATGAGATCTCAAAGGAAGTGCCTGATGGTGCCTGAACAGTATCCTTCTTTTTGGATGTATAGTTTTCCAACTTGCCGCATTGGGCCAGGCCGTACTAGCAGTATCCATCTCTAAGCTATTATGTGCTCCATCTCTGATTCATTCGTAATTGTCGGGCATTTAGCGGAGANGACCGTCTAGGAATGAGATCTCAAAGGAAGTGCCTGATGGTGCCTGAACAGTATCCTTCTTTTTGGATGTATAGTTTTCCAACTTGCAGCCGTACTAGCAGTACCCATTTCTAAGCTATTATGTGCTCCATCTCTGATTCATTCGTAATTGTCGGGCATTTAGCGGAGAAATGCTCTCTCTCCACATCGCAAAAACTCGCATGTAGACTTCTCTTCATATTTGGAGGACGATAATCTTTCTTCCTCTAGGAAAATCCTTTTCTTGAAGATTCTTTTCCATCCAGTAAATCCTGCATTTCACTTTGGCTGCGAGCTTGCTGAGCTCCGATAGTAATTCCTTTGACTCGTAATCCTTTGTTCGTAATCGTTTAACTCGGATTTAGTCGTTGCTCCGGACGCACCACTTCAACAACGCGATCACTTTCTCCTCTTGGTTTTACATCTTCACTTGCCTCTTCTGCACCGTATTCTGATCGCACTTCCCAGTCTCCCTCGAAATCATCATCGTCATGTGCGAGTGCGGGTGGAGCTTGATTCTGCTTAGTTTCATTTGCTTGAAATTCTTGGACCATATGTGACCGTAGCGTCATCACTCGTCTCATCACTCGTCCCTTCGTTCCCACTTTCTGGTTTGACTGCCATGCCATCTTCGTTAATTCCCAGCATTTGCTTTATACGCGATATTCCATCAAAGTGCTCCTCAATTTTCTTCTGAACATCAGTAAACCGTTT